TGGGGTTGTTAACCAATGTCATAAAACAGCATGTGTGTTACTGTTACATGAGAAACTATCTGTTCTGTAAGACTTCACCTGAAGTACAATAAAATATTAAAAAAAAAAAAAAAAAAATACCCCTGAAGGCTTCTTTAATCCAAACACTAGTTTAGCGTAATTAGTAAAGAATGTTTGTCTTGAACATTGTACTCTTTTAAAGAACTATCGTGTTGTTGTGTTGTTTGCCCTCAACTCATAGTGACTCTATTTGACAGAGTAGAACTGCCCCCATACAGTTTCCTGGGCTATAATCGTTATTAGAGCAGATTGCCAGGTCTTTTCTCCTGCAGAGTGGTAGCTGGTTTCAAACCACCAAGCACTTAACCATTGTGCCACCAGGGTGGGATCAAATTGACAACAGCAACTTGAAAGGTTATACAGGAAGCTTAGGGGGCAGTGAGTTTATGTTAATGGGGGAGGAAAAATTCAGAAAAGGAGGGTGAAAATGGTCGCACAACTTAGAAGAACTTAATGTCACTGAATTGTAAATTTAGAAATTACTGAATTGGAGTACATTCTGCCATGTATATTTTCAACATAAACCACAACAAAATAAATTATTAAAAAAAAAGTTAGTGAACATACCTCGTTGTAAAGCCAATCAAGACAACAGCAAATCCTAACTTGAAGTAAGACTGGTTCTCTTCTTGGGTAAAAAAAAAAATCTCTAAGACCCTCCTCCCAGCTCTAAAATTCTATGATTAATTTCACAGACGTTTTTAAACAGATGATCCACACCATATAAACTCACTCAGAAAGAAGAGTTTAAAGAGACTTTATCCAGCAGTCTCTCCGTTCAGGAAATAAAGGATTTTTGAAATTAGGAAATTAAGTTCTTACTTGTATTATTTGTCCATCATGATGGAGTTCAACCTGACACAAAAATGTGGAATTCCCAATGGGGTGCACCTTCCAGGTCATGGTGGCATTTGTAGAATTTATATTTTCAAGAAAGAAATTAAGGGGAGTCATTGGACGAACTGCCAAAAAAGACAAAGAAAGAAAAATTCAAGCACATATCCAGAAAGACTTTGAAAAATAGCAGTTCATTTATTCATGTATTTATTGAACAAGTTTTTTTTTTTTTTTATGTTTGAGAAATGGCAAACAAAACCAGACTTTCAGCCAAGATAGAGTAAGCAACTATAGCCTATGTCTCTCACTGGTTATATTAGAAACTCTGAACAAAATACAAAAAGCAACTACCTGAGGGCTCTTAAAATTAAACGAAAGCGGGCTAACTGTGGAGAGGAGACAAAACATGGAGAAGGGACCATCAGAGGAGGATTATACCAGAACCCTTAGAAGAATCAATAGCAGGACAGAGATGACAGAGGAGTCAGTGAACTTGAAGAGAGATCAATAGAAATTATCCTATCTGGATAAAGCAGGAAAAAAAATTTAAATGAACAAACCCTCAGGGAGATGTGGGACAGTCACAAATGCTCTAACATTTGTGTCACCGAAGTCCTAGAAAGAGAGAAGAAAAAGTGCAGCCCTGAAAAAATAATCACCAAAACTTTCCCAAATTTGGTGAAAGACATAAATATACAGATTAAAGAAGCTCAAGAGAAAACCTCGAACAGGATAAAAGCAAAGAAATCTATTCTGGATACCCGTGAGAAGTGTGGCATAAGCAAGAGTTATAATTAATTTTATTCGAACCTTAAATTATAACTTTCACTTATACAATGAATTAGACAAAAACCTACAGCAAGCACATTGACGTGGTCACACAATGTGTCAAACAAAGATGTGTCACTGGCCACCATGGGCTATGACAACTCTAGTCTCACCTCGATGAGTCAGTTTAAAAACAAGATGGACAGTTCTCTTCCTTAAGTAGTTTTCAGCCATGAGTGTGAAGTGATACATTTCTTGGGAGTCTTGAGATACTTGCCAGGTGCACCAGTTTCTGTGTTTACAAACTTTCTTTTTCTGGGAAAATCTTTAAACAAACAAACAATTACAGGGTCTACTTTTGTCAAAGCAGATGCAGCCCCTTGGCCTCGGGCACACTCAGTGACTTTCAAGCCCTGCTCCACACAACAGCATTGAGCCACCACCACCAAATAACAACAAAGAAAATATCATTCGAGACATTTGATTTATGTGATTAAATATGTAAATTAGGAATATGTATATGTTAAACATGTAAATTCTGACTCCCCCTCATGAATGGTGAGATCACCCTCTAATTTACTTTGAATATTCTTAAAAAGTCAGAAGTTAGGTAAACTTAAATCATCAGGCGGAAATATTTACACATCACGATCCACCCACCATTAACTATCTTTCTTATCATTTTTATGCCACATCTTCCTCTAACAAAACCGAGGTAGAAGGTATCTCACACTTGTGACCACTTAAAGACTTTCTCCTGACACTGGCAGGGTGGTTTTGATATATTTGTGCAAACTTTCTGCAACATCAAAATGCAGCTTTTGTTATGTTGTCACAAATACCTTAAACAATGAAGGCTTAAATCTGTCAATGATGTAACCAAAACTTACGATTCAAATAAAGTATAGCTTTGGGAAGGCTGTATTTCCAAAGCAGTGTCACTCCCAGGGTCCCAAGTACAGTTCAAAGTCTTCAAGTCTCGGGTTTCACAAGAAAAATCCTTGAGCTCTTCAAGTACTTCTGTCCATTCAACAAAAAACAAACAGAAGAAAGACCTGGTTAAGTAGCTTTATTAAAAGATAAATATAATGGGTTGAACTGTGTTCCCCAAAAATATATGTTCAAGTCTTAACTCCCAGTACCTGTGAATGTGCCTCATTTGGAAACAGGATCATTTGCAGATACAATCAAGTAAGATGAGGTCATACTGGATTAGAGTGGGACCTAAATCTAATGACTGGCATCTTTATGAGAGGAGGAAAGGGTGATTTGGGTACAGAAGCAAGAGGAGACACACAGGCAAGAAGCCTGTATGACCACAGAGGCAAACTGGAGTGAAGCAGCTACAAGCCATGAAATGCCAGGACTGTGCAAGTCACCATAAGTTAGGAAAAGGCAAGGAAGGATTCTTGCCTAGAATTTTCAGAGGAAGATAACCCTCGGAGACCTTGATGTCGGACTCCTAGCCTCCAGAACTGTGAGAAAATAAATACACTGCTGTTGTTTTAAGCCACCAAGGTTGTGATGATATGTTACTGCAGCCCCAGAACAAGTAAACGGGAAGCTCTGTTTGGGGTCTGGGGCCACCAAGTCACTCTGAACAATGAAAGGATCACTGAGGTGGAAACCTACACACCAACAGCCCCAGAAAGTCACGTTTCAGGCAGAAAAAGGAAAGAATTCACACCACCATGTCATCAGTTGCCCCTTCTCCTTCCTCCCCTTGTGATCTGGTATTCTGGGTGGATGGTCATGATCTGCAAGTGGCGGGCACGGGGTCCATTTGACGACAGTTATGCCCCCATTGTCTGCTAGTAGGCAGTCAATAGTAGTGCTAAAATGACAGATGGGTGAACGGAAGCATGAATGGAGTCGGTGTTGTCTGGTGTTTCATTCTGGATGTGCTGGCTTACAGTGAGCCTAGGGTTGTGCCTGGAATGCCAGAAAATCAGCCAGATTGTGTGGACCTGACAAATTCATCAGCCCAGAACTGAGTTCCAGGAATACTGAAAAGCATCTAAGCCCCCAGAATTAGAGGCCACACTACGATACCATTTTCTTTAAATGCTGTCTTGACCCAGTTGTGAGGCACTGGCTAGAGGCTTGTCAGTTCCCATCTTGAGCAACTGAGTAAGTCCACTCTCCAACCACTCTCTTTATCAGGTTCTCGAACTCCTGGGCCACTATGCAACCATCCTAATTGCCCTGGGGCCAGGTACCCAAGAACTAGGGACAGCCTTTATGCCCCCGGAGCTTGCAGAATTATTCAAAATGTCCAGGCCCCAGGAAGCCCACACAACCTAGATAACCCTATTCTGCTTGCCATACATAAGCCCTCTCCTACAATTCCAGCTCATTGTTAACTTGTCCTCTGGTGCAACCCTGTGTGGCCCTGAGTCATGGCAGGTTGTGCCTTCCATGTCTGGGAACTGTGAGTCTAATAAAACTAGTTACTTCTCTTGCCTGGCTCCTCTTTCCCAAGTTACTTCCAACTTAGCAGCCCACAAATCTCTTAGAGCACACGCCGAGGGGCACAGCTGCACCAAGTGTCTTAGTTTACTAGGGCTGCTGTAACAGAAATATCACAAGGGGGTGGCTTTATGGAACAGAAACTTATTTTCTCACAGTTTAGGAGGTTAGAAGCCCAAATTCAGGTCTCCGGCTCTAGGGGAAGTCTCTCTCTGTCCCGTCTGGGGAAAATCCTTGTTCTCCTCTAGAGAGTGTTCCTCTCTTCTCAGCGTTCCCTGGAGATCTCCACATGCCACCTATCTTTCCCCATTCATGTGGGCTTTCTGTACCTAACCTTCTCTTTTTATTTCTCAAAAGTGAGTAGGTTTAGGATACACCCTACACTGATATGGCCTCTGTTCTATACGTTTCTATAATGATCTCAAATACCATAAAGCATAAGTCACTATTATGCTGTAAGCACTCATAATATGAACTTAGAAATAGAAATATGTCTACCTTTGTGAGGCTCTCTAGCATTAACTATAAGACATTAGAAACCTGTAAGTCATGAGAAAGTTGTTGGGGAAATTTCTGAATGCTGACATAGAAACATATGAAGTCTGTAAAGAACGTAAACAACCTTTAAGTTCACTTTGACCCGGCATGCTCCGACATAAGAAAACATAACGATCTCTAAACAACCTTCCTAATCTCTAACCTTGAAAAAATGCAACATTCAGCTACTCTCCAACCCTGGAGAAAAGATATAACATACGAGTCTCTGACGTCACACTGGCCCTTGCCGTGTGGAGCCAAGGTGACAAATTCACATATAAATCCTAAATTTCTGCTCACTCAGTGAGAGAAGGCAGAGATGGAACTGAGATTCCATCTGCCAACACCAACCTTGGACCCTATCTACAATGGACAAGACCTCTGCCATGGTTAAACCTTCCTCCTGAGACCCCTCGTTAAAGGTAAAAGCCTAAAGCCTAAAGATCTAACCATTGAACTAACATTGTAATTGCAATTGTTAATTCTGATTCCCTGGTTCTAAACGAATGTTGTGAGGTCTTACTTACATGCTTGCCATGACTACCTTGCAATAAACTAAACGAGTTTATGTATGACAAACCTGAGTATCTCTCTATTAATTTTCTAAGATAAAACTCTACACGACAGCCTCACTAACCTAACAAAGAAAATGCTATTCTTAAATGGGATTACATCCATAGGTATAGTGGTGAGGATTCCCACACATATTTCTGGGGACACAATTCAATCCATCACACCAAGTGTCCTGGAGCTCGGAAACCTCCTTTGGCAGAGGAAATAAGGAGAGAAAAAAAATCACAGGAATTGTCCTACTGTGCAGGGAAAAAGGAGTTTCTAAGTCCAGGAGGTCACTGGGTGTGCACACAGACCCACGTAAAACTAAATATGTTCTCTCCTCTAAAAATAGCCCATGAAGGCACCTGACATTTTCCACACACAGAAAGAAAGTAATGGCCTCCATTTGCTGAATTCTTCCTATATGCAGCTATCATATCAGGGCCACGCTCCGTCCACGGGTTTGTTCATTAAACCTCACAAAAGCCACTATCACCCCCATGTCACAGAAGAGGAAGCTGGCTCAGCGAGGGTAAGAAACTTGGCCCATAGACACTCTCAGTGATGGCAAGAGAATTCAAATCCAGATCTGCTCGGTCACAGCCCTTGTTGCCTTTCTGGGGTCTCCCAACATGAAGCCCTCTCCTCCCTCCATGTCCTGTGATAAATCCGCATGGCTAAGGCCAAGTAAAGGAGCCCTAGTGGCATAATGGTTAAGTGTTCAACTGCTAACCAAAAGGTGGGTGGTTCAAACCCACCAGCCACTCCGTGGGAAGAAAGACCTGGCGATCTGCTCCTGTAAAGATTACAGCCTAGGAAACCCTATCAAATAGGGTCTTTATGAGTTGAAATTGACTGGACGGCACACAACAACAAGGCAAAGCAGGATGTTTTCCCAGTGACCCAGGTCATGCCCTGAACTTTCTCCCTTTTCATTCTGTTGGTTTCTAGGGATAAAATTATCAGTAAGGACAAGAAGACAATAGGAAATCCCGGAAGCAATGCTTCAGGATAACTCTTTCAGAGTCTCTGCTAGAAGACTTGGAAAGCGAAAGTAAATCAAAGCCATTGAGTGGAAATGTTTGCTTGTCTTCCAGTAAAGGTGATTCAAGCATATTCCACAGGAAATGAGGACAGAGGGGCTCAGAGAATTTGCACACTTACTTGATACATACAGAATGGTGCCTTTTGGATCCTCTCCCTGCGTCACGTCACAAAAGATATTCGTCCCCTTTGGCCTAACGAAAGGAACACGACTCAAGTGGAATGTGGATACATTTGGAGCAAGTTGTTCTACATGGACCTGGATGCCTTCCAAATAACAGGATATGTTATTCTGATTGCTCCTAGAAATGTAACAAAAGGTGACATTGGAGCCTTCTTCCACCAGTTTGTCTTTGGGGAAAAGGAAGAATGTATCATGTCCAAGAGAATCCTGTACTGTGAGACATTAAAAAAAAAAAAAAGAGAGAAAGAGCTCAGTTAGAATCTCACTCAAAATTCAAATCACCCCCTCCCACCTCACACTCAGCATCAGCAGGTAACTTTACCTTCTTTACCTCCCTGAGAAAACAGAAGCCTCAATTTCTACACTAAACCCGTAAACTTTAGGGCACGCCAAAAAACAAAAAAACCCTTTCCACCATCACTCTTATTGTTACGCTAACACCACTGCTGCTATGACTGTTACTGCCACGGCTATCTGCCACCGCCGCTACGACCTACTTCCACTGTCGCTGTTGTGTGCTGTCGATTCCGACTCATAGCGACCCTACGGGACAGAGAAGAACTGGCCTATAGGGTTTCCTAGGCTGTAATTTTTATGGAAGCAGACTTCCAGGTCTTTTCTCCCATGGAGCAGCACTACTGGTTATTATATTACTGCTATGGTTAGGGTAAGCAGCCCTTTGGCGGAGTGGTTAAGTGTTTGGCTGCTAACCGAAAGGTTGGCAGTTTGAACCCACCAGCCACTCAGCTGGAGAGAGAGATGTGGCAATCTGCTTCCGTAAAGATTACAGCCTTGGAAACCCTATGGGGCGGTTTTACTCTGTCCTACAGGGTTGCTATGAGTCGGAATCGACTCGATGGCAACGGATTTGGTTTTTTGGTTTTATAGGGTTCCTATGAGTTGGAATCAACTCGATGGCAGTGGGTTATGGTTAGGGTTATTATAATAACAGTAGCTGCTTTCTGTTGAGCCCTAGCCATGTGGGAGGTCCATGTTTAGTGCTTATGTACATTCTCTCATGTCACCCTTACTACCTCACAACGACAGGGCAGGCAGGACTGAGCCCAAATCTGCTCAGCCAGTAAGTGGCAAAGTCAGATTTAGACCTGCCAGGTCTGGCCAGACCAAAAGCTAAGTGTCCCTCATAACCTCTACATTGTGCTGTAGATCACATCTCCTTCCACATTCTCAGAAACGCCAATCACTCAAATACTCTGTGGCTTCAGCCAGCTACAAAAATTCCTACAAACTAGAGAATTAATCGAGTCATCGTTTAAAAAATCAGCAAGATGGATGGGTACTTTTATATTTATTTTTAGCCAGGGTCAGATGAGATTGGCCCAATCCCAGCAGAAGAGAGCTGTTCTTCATGACACCCAGGGATTTTCCATTGTCACCCAAAAGTTTCTCATTGGCTTAATACTTGGTTCTCTTCCCACCATGTACCTCACGTCTCCCTCCTGCCTCTCCTCCACAGTCAACCCTCTTGAAGGAGGTGCCCATACTTGCTGCTTGGGTCTTATCATTTCCTTATCCCTCCTCAGCCCACTGCAGTCTGGCTGCTGGCCCCTGCTGGTCCAATAAAAAAATTGCCATTACCAACCTCACCCGTGGGGTGTGGCCTGGGCATGGTGTTTTTAAAGCTCTGCGGGTGTGTCTAATATGCAACCAAGGCTGAGAGCCTGTGCTTTGGTGGTTAAAGACTATTCAGGTTTTCCACTTATTCTTGAGTCACTTTTGAGGTTATGTTTTTGAAAATTCTGTCCATTTTATTCAAGTTGTTTATAATATTGCTCTTTTTTTCTTTTCTCTTACTTTTTAATCTCTGTTTTCTCTGTAAGCATGGCCCTCTTTCAGCACTAGGATGGAATGGTTAAGAGCATGCCCTTGGAGCTAGATTGTCTGGCTTGGGGTACCAGTCCCACCACTTAGTAGGGTTGATGGCCTTGGTCTCAGTTTCCTCATTTGTGAAACAGGGATAAGAATAATACATATCTCACATGGCTGACGCAGGAATAAATTAACATGTATGATGCTTAAAGGGTCACTAGGTGGTGCAAATGGTTTGCGCTCAACTATTAACCTAAAGGTTAGCAGTTCAAACTCACCCAGTGGTACCTCGGCAGGCCTGGTGATCTGTTTCCATTAAAATTATAGCCAAGAAAACCCTATGGAGCAGTTCTACTCTGACACACGAGGTCGCCATGAGTCGGAAACGAATTTGGTTTTGGTTTTATGGTGCTTAAAACAGTGATTGCAATAGAGTAAGGGCTCTGTAGATTTAATTCTATTATAATTATTAAGTGAATCACTAGGCTATTCATGGGTTAGTATGTTATAAGTTTGAGTTAATAAATATGTATAACTGAGTAACAAAGGAATGGTTCTATTGGCAGGAATTTTACACAACCTAGCAGGGAATACAGTTGAGACAGATAAATGCCCTTATCTTTACCATTGCTTTAGTTCAGGCCTGTAGCTTAACTGGAATCCCAGGGTGGTGTAAAGGGTTTATGAACTCGGCTGCCAACCAAAAGGTTGGAGGTTCAAATCTACCCAAAGGTGCCTCAGAAGAAAGGCCTGGAAATCTACTTTAGAAAAATCAGCCATTGAAGATCCTATGGAGCACAGTTCTACTCTGACACACATGGGGTCACCATGAGTCGGAAGCGACTCAACGGTAACTGGTTAGGTTAGATAGCTTAACTGGAGCTTAAAAAATCATGGCAAAACCCATTGTAAATTTTGATTACAACAAAATTAAATTACCAAAATCTTTTAAATATCCTTAAAAAGAACATTTAAAATATATTTGTCCATAATCTCATCACTCTAATGAAGAGCTGCTCTCATTTTCCATATTTCCACCTTCTCTCTAGATTGTTGTTGTTAAGTGCGTCACGTTGATCCGGACTCATAGCAACTCCATGTGACAAAGCAGAACTGTCCCATAGGGTTTCCTAGGCTGTAATCTTTACAGGAGCAGATCGCCAGGTCTTCTCCTGAGGAGCTGCGATGCCTAACTCTCGTGACATCAGGGTTCCTTTCTCTCTAGATTAGCGGTTGGCTGGCAAATGAAGGTCCATGAGCCAATTCTGGCCCACCATCTGGTTTTGTAAATAAAGTTTTATTGGAACACAGCCATGCTCATTTGTTTACATATTGTCTATGGCTGCTTTTGCACTCAGGACAGAGACCATATGGCTTCAAAGCCTAACATATTTATTATCTGGTCCTTTACAGAAAAAGTTTCCTGACTCCTACTACACATTTTGTGCAAGACTAATAAAAAACTAATTTCTATTCTGCTTTGTTTACTTAGTATTCTATAATAAACACACTTTAAGCAGTTGGAAAATACAAACATAATTTTCTGAATTTGCATAATTATCTCAGTTAAAAAATCTAGAGGTAAAATCTCAGGCATTTATCTTCCAGTAGCAAGTTTCAAACCATGTTTGTTAGTTCCGCAAGAAAATAATGTCTGTGTCTACCCAGGGTTCCTCAAAGGGACTCTACTGATCCCCAAGTAATAGCAACCACCTCACTTCTTACCATCTACTTCCTCCCATGAACTCCATTTGCTCCAGGACTTCAGCTCGGGGAACTTGGCATCATCCATCACACTTCTAATTCTTACAAAGTGTGTTGCACATTCCAAAGGGAGCTCAGATTCCCAGCTCCAGTGCAGAACTTGGTTCCGCTTCACGGTAGTACTGTAGTTCCCCTAGAAGTAAAGGGAAAAATCTGGAAACATCTGGTTCTGGAAAATAGCTTGACTAGTCTTATTATCAAAGCATAAACCTAAGAGACCATGTAATTCCACAACGTTGCAAGCGTAGTCTATTCTTAACCGGCCAGCTCCCAGGGAGCCAGCCATAGCCTTTTGTTAGAAAATTCTGCTCCCAGTCCCTTGTTGCCATTGCTAGTTGCTGTCAAGTCAGCTCTGACTTATGGCGACCCCAGGTACAACAGAACAGATCATGCCATCTTCACTATCATTTGTTGATATGTTCAAGTTCACTGTTGCAGCTACTGTGTATTTTGAATGCCTCCCAACCTAAGGGGCTCATCTTCCAGCACTGTATCGAACAATATTCGGTTGTGATCCATAGGGTTTTCATGGGCTAATTTTTGGATGTAGATTGCCAGGCCTTTCTTCCTAGTCTGTCTTAGTCTGGAAGCTCCACTGAAATCTGTTAAGCAGGCAGGACCCTGCTGGTCTTTTACATAATGATGGTATAGCTTCCATGCATGTCACTGCTGGACAACAAACTGACAGACGGGTGGTGGATACTGTGCTTTGTTGTAAGTACTTCATCTGTGCTTTTTGTCCTGGTTATAGCTTGGCCCCAAGACAGCAGGGGCTGTGCCTCATTCTTCTCTGTGTCTCCATAACTCCAGTCACTCTTGCTTCTGTGTGCCCCCCCCCACCCCAGCCCCCAGGGCTCCTGCTTCCTGCTTTTTTTCCTCCACAGCTGGGAGATGAAGACCTTGCACTTCCTGAGGAAAACGAACCCCCATCCAGCTTTCTAAGGGCAAGTGCTAAGAGCTACACAAAGAAGGACGAGACACCATGCATGCCACATACAGCCCAGAGTCAGCAATCTTTATGGCCTTCTCTACACCTCTACACCTCCCTTTCCAGATTGCTAACCTTCAACAAGGAGTCCTGGTGGCACAGTGGTTAAGTGCTCAGCTGCTAACTGAAATGTCAGCAGTTAGAACCCACCAGCCACCCCCTGGGAGAAAGACGTGGTAGTGTGCTTCCTTAAAGATTACAGCCTAGGAAACCCTATGGGGCAGCTCTACTCTGTCCTGTAGGGGCGCTATGAGTCAGAATCGATTTGACAGCACATGACAACAACCTTAAACAGCACAGCAGAACACAACACAGCCCTGAAGTGAGACCACCTTAGCCCACACTGGCGGGAGGGTATCTAATTAAGCATGTCCTTCTTCACCATATGCAGAAGGATTTTAAAAACATTTGTATTTTATTTCAGCACACTGAATTATTTTATTCCTAAATATATATATTTTTTTAAATGATAAATCGTGAGCTCCTGACCCATGCCACTTTCACTAGTTAATGTGAGCAGCCTTGAGTACATTCTGCTTAAATATTTTTTTTTAATTTAAGAGCAAATACAGAAAAAAAAGGGGAACTACCTGTATATCTATCATGGTGACCTTGCTGTAATGTCAGCAAGCCACTGATTGGATTTTACCTTCTACATGTCTCTCAAAGTCATCCTTCTCTCACGCCCACTGTCACCCCCACAGCGCGTCTCCTCTCCCCGGCACCCACCCCCAGCCTCCCTCGTGCCAGTCATACTTTTCCTTCTCCAGACCCCCAGCTGCTCTCTGTGTAGCCGGAGCGGGCTTTTTAAAAACTTCAAGTCAGATCTCGTCACTCCCTTCTTCTTGTTCTCTCAGGATAAAACACAAAAGCTGCGCGTGACCCCCACAGTCCAGAGGGCCTCACGTCACGCCTGCCCCCGTGGGCTCCATGCTCCCACCCCAGTGACTGCTTTCAGGCCGGAAGCCACCAAACCCTCTCCCTCAGGGCCTCTACTCCAACCTGTTTGATTTTCCAGCGCTCTCTCTCTCTCCTTTTTTTTTCCTTACATAGCTAGATAGAATTCTTTCCTTTTTATTTTCTAATTGTGGTAAATATGAGTTAATAAAGCACCTGCCATTTCAACATTCTTCACACGTACAATTTAGTGACATTAGTCATCATGTTGTTCAACCATCACCGTTATCTGTTTTCAAATTTTTCAATCACCCTTAACAGAAGATCAGTGTCCCCTTAGCCACCAACCCCCCTTGCCCCCTCCCTCTCCCCTGTCCTTGGTAACCACTAATAAACTTTGAATTTTCAGAGAACTCTTGTCCATCCTCCGTGCTAAGTTAACTTCTAATCCTCTTTCTTATTTTGACCCAGACAGCCCTTCCTCCAAGTCTCTGAGGAAGGTCAGGCCTGACCTCATCTCCATAGCACCTGTGTGTCACCTGCCTAACACCATATTTAGAATATGCTGATTTGCATGCTTATTTCCTCATTCCCGCTAGTGTGCTCAGCATGGATATCCCCACAACTTCACAATGCCTGGACTTGGGCCTATAGTCTGAAATACGAGCTGAAATATTCAATCAGTTCATTACTATGCAGTAAGTTTTATTTTTCCCAGACACACTTTGTATGGATTCTGTCTAACCTCAACTTCTTTTTTGGCCTTTAACTCCCTGTAAAATGGAAGAGATAAAACTTTCCCTGAATGCATCAATGCAGATTTTTTTTTTTTTTTTTAAATGTGACAAATTGTCTTTGGGCCGTTTTCATCAATTGAAGTGGAAGTTTAATTTGGCCCTCCCAGATTTGAGTAAATCACAAGAAACTGGCACAAACATTTACATAGAAATCAGCTGAGGTCACTGGCAGAAGTCCTGAGACGGAAGCTTTATCCTTGGTCTGACTCATGCTCCAGGCCTCCTTCCAAGCTTGACTGTTAATCTGCTCCAACACGCTTCAACCCCCCTGCCATTTTCAAAATCACAAAGCAAGTGGCTGGAACGGAAGAGCAGAACCTGGGCCTTGGGTAGGAGCACGAGGTGCTGGCAGCTTTGAGTGGCAGGTAACTTGTGGGAGGCAGCTTGGTGCCCCGTTCCAGCAGGAAGCACCTGGATTGAGATGCTTTTCTTTTGGTGTGTTTCGGAAAACAGTAATGTTGAACCGTGGTGTCTAGAAGCGTCCCCCTTTCAGCATGAGTGAAGGTGCCCTGCCAGGCTTGCATTACCAGGTACTTCACGAGAAGTGGGAGATTGTGGTACAAACAAAGCAGAAAGTTAGAATTCCCCAGGGCCTTTCTTGGCTTCGGAGTTCCTGCGTGGTGCAAACGGCTGCTAACTGAAAAGCTGGTAGTTGGGGTCCACGCAGAGGTATCTCAGAAGAAAGACCTGGCAATCTGCTGCCAAAAAATCAGCTACAGAAAACTCTGTGGAGCACAGTTCTACTCTGACACACACGGGGTTGCCATTAGTCAGTGTCACCTCAACGGCAACTGGTTTTCCCGGCTTTATTCTCCTTAACTGGAAGGAGATGTTATGTCTCTCCTTCAACTTCAGGCCTGAGAGATTCAGATGAGGGCTTTTCATGATGCTATCTGTTCTGTGGAACACATGGCCACTGATGACCGGGAGGCTGCATGGGTCAGGTATGACATTGTCCTGGCTCTGTCACCTTGAGCAGCACACAAGCCTCTCGGTGCCTCTGTGTAGTCTCGCCCATGCTAGGTGTTGGGGTTGGGGTGGGGGAGGACAATACAATGGGCAAACGGCAAAACTCTACTCTGAAGCCTTCGTTAATGATAAAGAAAACTTGGGATGGGATAGTGGTGATAGTTGCACAACATGGTGAATGTAATGAACGTCACTGAACTGTACACAGAAAAAGGGATGAGATGGCCAGTGTTTTGCTGTACATGTTTCACCACAAGAAAAATTTTAAAAAAGCAAAACAGAAGAAAATACCTCTACTCTGAAGGATCTGAAACCCTAGTAGATTACATAAGTAGTAGATTCCAGCCGCTTTACCTTGCAAACGGGATTAGTACATGAATCAGAAATTGATTGTCTCTAGATAAATAAAGAATGAGGTCAACTTGGTGTGGTTAATGGTATTTTCTCTAATGGTGACCTGGTGGTGCAGTGGTTAAGAGCTTGGCTGCTAACCAAAAGGTTGGTAGGTTGAATCCACCAGGCGCTCCTTGAAAATTCTATGGGACAGTTCTCTGTCCTATAGGGTCACTATGAGTTGGAAACGACTCCACGGCACTGGGTTTGGTTTGATCTCAGGTGCTAAGTACTAGATTTCTACCAATTCCTCTAACACTTCCCTGAGATTTCTTTTTCTTTGGCAATGCTAAGCCTCAAAATGACCTTTGTTAAATGTTTTACTGCACTCTATATTGCCAACCAGTGTATCCAACAAAAATACAAAACTGAGACAGATTCGTAGAAGGTCCACACAGGAGCTGATGGTGGAGCACGAACAGCTGCTGGTAAGCATCGCTGCTGTTTAAAATAAGAACACTAATCAGCTCTCCTTGTGGAAAACTGGCCTTTGAGGGGTAGAACTATAGACCTGATATTAATCCTGAATTGACAGAGTCAGAACTGGATTTAACTTAGGCCATCTGCTCAGGTACCAAATACAATAACAGACATGGAAGGCTAGAAAGTAACTGCTGTTGTTGTGTGCTGTCGAGCTGATTCCGATTCATAGCGACCCTATAGGACATGGTAGAACTGTCCCATAGGGTTTCCAAGGAGCAGCTAGTGGATTCCAACTGCTGACCTTTTCGTTAGCAGTGAAACTTTAAAATCAGTGGCCTTTATGCTTTACTAAAGGAACTAACTATTTTTTTCTGGATCCCCTGTACATAGGCCTCCACTCCTGAGAGAAAAATAGGCCTGAGGTGGTAAAGTGATGAAGAATGGCATAGTCCCTTGCTTCCCTCCCCTTCAGTGAATTCTCACGTTCCTTCAAAGGGAAAACATTCCATTGCCCTTGAACATCGCAGGATAATGACTGTTTGTACAGTCTATATACTATATACATTATGTGTATATAGACTGTTAATGTTCCCCAGACCAGAAATAGTAATATTTCTGAGATAAAAAGAGAAAATTTTCCTGGAATGCATCAGTTCAGTGATTTTTTTTTTTTTTTTAGAAAGAAACCACCAAAGTGTCCCAGTGCTCTAGATGGGAAAGAATCAGGCAAAATAGACACGGCTGTTATTTAAACCACGATGCGCAAAAAAATTGATCCCAAGTAATTCAAAGACAAAAAAGAGTGTGACATTAAGGATCTGATTAATTTGTTGTAGAAAAAGCCACATGTGAGGCAACAAATGACACAGTGAGTTACCCTCTAACATGGCCCAGGGAGAACCTTTTTGTTGGCTGGAATATAAAGTGCTGGTTCTCATTCTCTCTTCAATTTCTGCACAATATAAGCAAAGTAACTGACAGGAAGCTTCACTAGCAAAAAAATGTTGCCAAATTATTACATCTTATTTAGGAAAATCTCTGATAGAGAAAAAAGAAGGAAAAGGAATAAGATGATTGATCCTCAGGGATCTCTGGAACCCAGTACTCATGAGGACAGACCCAACAGTCCCCTTAAAAGGGAACAGAACAGACTGAGAAAATAATCTACTTACCTATTTGTCCCATTCTAGTTACCAAAGTAAAACTGTCATGTTATTTTGTCATGAATCCTCTTATTTAAAGCACAGAAATACAAATGCTTAGGAAAACTGTTTTGAGCTGCTAAAATGTTTCCTTATTGAGTTTATTGGATGTTAAAAAACAAATTATGGTATAAGAAAGGGATTTTTAAAATATTCAGCAAAAAAATACTTACCACCCAGACAACATTGGATGTTTTAATTCTACTGATCTGTATCTGAACAATGATTTGTAATTCCTGATGATAAGGAAGGTTGTGGACACTCCATTGTAAATTCAAACATTGGCATGTAGAATTGATGGAAACTTTAAGTGATTCAGGAGTCAATGGTAGAGGCTCAGATGAGACTGAAAGACCAAAACAAAGTATGAAAAGACATTTAACGAGAGCATGACGGAGTAGTCGCAGATACTTAAACTGTTCAATATCATCATTGTTTAGCTTTGGAAAACATTGCTCATACTTGCGTTCTAGAACCAGACATCTTTAAAAGCTGGAAGGAAATTCAGAAATCAATTAATAAAGAAAGAAATTAAGACCTAGATGAGAAAAATGACTTGCTCAACAATATACAGCAAGTTAGTAAACTGAGGCACAGTTAAAACAAAAGGACTGGTTATTGGAGGGTCTAATAGGAAACTTATAACAAAGCTAAAGAAAGAGGACTTTTTGTCTTAAGTTTCATATTTCTAGAAATAAAGAATAAGAGTTTTGACAAATACTGTACAATCTCACATAGAAAAAGACAAATGTATAGAGACCAAAGTTTGTTAGTGATCACCAGGGGCGGAAAGGATGGGGAAAGGAGGGATGGGTTTACCATGACAGAAAAATCGCATAGATTAAGGATAGGGCTGCACAGTCGATTATTGTAAGTGCTGTCAATAAGTAGTACATCAGTAAAAAGCTAAATTGCCAAAAGGTGTGTGATAGACATATTTATGACAACAACCACAACAAGAAGAGTAGCTCCTGAGGAAACCCTATGGGGCAGTTCTACTCTGTCCTATACACCACTATGAGTTGAAATCGACTCAACTTGATGGTATTGGGTTTGGTTTTGGGTTTAGCTGCTGAAGCTGTTATGTACAACCAAACACCTCATGGGATTTGGTTCCTTGTTTTGGAGGTTTAGGGTCATGGTTTCGTGGAACATCCCAGTTAACTGGTCTAATAAAATGTTCAGTGCTTCTGTTCTACTTCCTAGTTTGTTTCATAGTTCTGGGGTCTTAAAAGCTTTCAAGTAGCCATCCAAGGCACAACAATTGGTCTCTATTCGCCTGGAGCAACAGAGGAAGAAGGAGAGTCAAGAATAGGAGGAGGGAATGGAATGTGTGGCTAATTGCCTCCATGAACAACTGCCTCCTTTGCCATGAGACCAAGAGAACTGGATGGTGCCTGGCTACCATTAACAAACATTTTGATCAAAGACTCTGCAGAAGAATCCTGATCAAAAGGGGGCAAAATGAAGAACAAAATTGAAAATTCTCATGGACTCCAGACTTTCTGGAGCCGTAGAGGCTGGATGAACCCCTGAAACTATTGCCCTGAGATAATCTTTAAACCCTAAACCAAAAATATTCCCTGAAGTTTCTTAAAACCAAACAATAGTTTAGTTTTACTAGTAAAAAATGTCTGCCTTGAGTAGTATGCTCTTTTAAGAACTGTCTGTATGGGATCAAACTGACAACAGCAACTTGAAAGATTAGATAGGAACCTTAGGGGGCAGTGAGTTTACGTTAATGAGGGAGGAACAACTCACAAAAGGAGGGTGAGAATGGTTGAACAACTGGAAAAATGTAATCAATGTCACTGAATGGTACATGTAGAAACTGTTGAATTGGTGTATGTTTTGCTGTGGAATATTCTCAACAACAATAACAAGAAAATTTAAAAAAAATTTTAAATATGAGTTTCTTTTTGGAAGTCATTATTTCATAGATTATTAAATGGTTATAAAGTGAGAGCATATCCCACCTCCAGACATGATCATTTATATCTCAGTGCACTGCACTGAAAACCCCTCTGGCAAGAACTTCTTGAAGTGGATGAAGAACATTTACACAAAACCTACAGGTTACATCCTACTTAATTATGAGAAATTGATACTCTCCCCAGAAGATCAACAACAAGGCAGGATGACCCTTCTTGCCACTTCTATTCAACATCATCCTGGAAGCCCTAGTTCGTGGAATAAGACAAGAAAATGAAATAAAAGGTATACAGATTGGGACGGAAGAAATAAATCTGAGTCCACAGATGGCATGATTTTCTATGTAGAAAATCCCAAAGAAATGATTAAAAAAACAAATGGAACTACTAAGTGATTACAGTAAGTCACAGAATACAAGGTTAATATAGAAAAGCCAACTGAAAGCCCATTGCCGTTGAGTCGATTCCAACTCATAGCAACCCTATAGTTCAAAGTAGAACTGCCCCATAGAGTTTCCAAGGAGCGGCTGGTGGATTCAAACAGTCAACTTTCTGGTTAGCAGCCAAATGCTTAACCAGGGCCCTGGTTATATGTTAGCAATGAATAATTGGAATTTGAAATTAAAAACATTATACCATTTACATTCACATCAAATAAATTAAATACTTAGGTATAAATCCAGCAAAATACGTACAGTACCTGGCATGGATTGAATTACGTCCCCCAAAAATATGTGTTGTAAATCCCAACCTCTATGCCTGTGGTTATAATCTCATTTGGGAATGGGTTGTCTTTGTTATGTTAATGAGGCAGGATTAGTGTAGGGTGTATTTTGAGTCAATCTCTTTTGAGATATAAAGAGATTAAACAAGCAAGCAGAGAGAGAGAGAGATGAAGTAAGATAGATGCCAAGACACAAGGAGATTTCCAAGGAACTCGAAAGCAGAAGCTGAAGAGACAAGGACTTTCCTCCAAAGCCGACAGAGAGAGAAAGCCTTCCCCTAGAGCTGGTGCCCTGAATTCGAACTTCGAGCCTCTTAAAGTGTGAGACAATAAATTTACGTTTGTTAAAGCCACCCACTTGTGGCATGTCTGTTATAGCAGCACTAGATAACTAAAACAGCACTTACATGCAGAAAACTACAAAATGATGATGAAAGATCTAAATAAAGGGAGAGACATTCAATGGGTATCTTCCCTGAAAGTTACCAATCCCATGTGATGTTTTGTAAATGCGATGCTGGGGAGGGCTATGGTGCTAACTAAAATCTCAGTGTGGACTTCATGACCTTGGATTTGGCGATGGATTCTGAAAGCAGGGTGCACGCATAATCATCCCATCCTTCCCTGGTCCTTGTTTCACTTTGCCTTATATGGTAGCTTGTTGCTGTCAACCTCACCCTCTAGATTGAAGTTTTCTGGAAGACAGGGGTTGAGCCTTATGCGTCTTTGAACAGACTCCTGCCCTCAACCCTTAGCACAGAGTCCTACTCGTAGCAGATGATGATCCCAAATTCCAGAGATCCAGGAGCTCCAGGAGGTCTCAAGTGCCTGACCAGCAGCAGCTCCTCCACTGGTGCCTGGATTTTCCTTCCTGGTGTCCTCCTTCCCTGTGGCTGCTCTTCTAACCCCTTCTCTGCAGCACTCATCTGCTGTACTGTAATATTCTGTTTCTGTGTTTGCCCACCTGGAGGCTGTGTGCTAAAGGGCAGGACTAAGTCTTACTCAGCTCAGTGAAGTAAGACCAATAGCATACCAGTCAGTGTGTAGACACTAGTCAGTGTGTAGACACTCAGTGATTGGTTGCTGAGTGAATGAGAAAGCTCCCAGTATAAACATGTATTTCTGGGAGTTCTAGAAAGCTACCATACGATGCTCTGGGCAAAAGGGAAACTCTTTATAGTAACATACATGCGTGAGAGTGAAATTGGTGGGAAGAGGGGAATTCTGTTTTTGTATTATTTGAACATTTTTACCATTAGCATATATATTTTAAATTTTTTTCTTTTTTATTGAGGTGAAATTCACATAATAAATGTTTATATTAACATATGCTACCAGTTGTACTAAATGACTCAGGTACTTGAGTCACTCAGAAGAAATTGGGTCAAAAGCAATCCAGTCTTCCTTGAAAAATAGTGGAAAATAACGTGGTAACAACAGAGAGACACAAAGGAACTTAGAGATAAATAAATCCAATCCCATTATTTTTCATATGCGGAAACTGAGGTTTAAAAAGAGGGAAGTGATTTTCCCAAGGCCACACAATCATAACCACAACCACAACCCAGAGTCCTCAGCTCTCAGCCCAGCTTTCTTTTCCCAGTGCTGGAGGAGGGTACGGCCATAACGGCCAGGCTTGGGAATCAGACAGCTCTCCATTTCATTCACAGACCTTCCTTCCACTTCCCCCACCTGACGGGCCCCAACATGCTTAAAGAAATAAACTGTGGTCCATCCAGAATCACCACCCATCTGTCAGCTGGTCATACTGTGATAGCTTGCATGTTGCTCTGATGCTGGAAGCTATGCCACTGGTATTTCAAATACCAGCAGGGTCACCCATGGTGGTCTGGTTTCAGTGGAGCTTCCAGACTAAGACAGATTAGGAAGAAAGGCCTGGCAATCTACTTCTGAAAATTAGCCAATGAAAACCCTATGGGTCACAGAATATTGTCCAAGACTTCGATTTGCTTACTTTGAACTTGTCATCAGAAGGGGCCGACTGCTGGAAAAGGGCATCATGTTTCATAAAGTGGAGGGCCGGAGAAGGTGAGGGAAACCCTCAATCACATGGATTGACACAATGGTCACAGCAATAGACTCAAACATACCAATGATCATGAAGAAAGCACAGGACTGGGCAACATTGCATTCTGTTATACATGGGGTCACCATGCATCAGAACCAACTTGACAGAAACTAATGACCATTCATAAGATGGGGCACCATGCAGCCATTAAACATAATGTTATTTCTAGAAGAACATTTAATATCAAAGGAAAACACTCATCATGTGTTATATTAATTACTTTAAGTAACAACAAAAAGTCAGTGTATATATAGTATAATTTCACTTTTATAAAATACATATTTACATCTCTATCTGCATGTGTATACAGAAAACTGGAAGACAATACATTAAAAAACTACACTCAGTATCTCTGGCTGACAGACACGTGAGCTCAGAGTTAACCAGAAGTGAGCCTTGGCTGTGTCTTCTTGGAGGGAGAAGTCAGACCCGGGTACCTGAAATGGGTCCTCAGAGCTGAGCCTGGCTGATTGACTGAGTGGGAGGCCAACTAGTTTGAGTGGAGGCTTAGTAGGTACTTGGTCAGAAGCACCAGAAATTGAGACAAGAAATCTCAGGTGTGCATGTAGGGACAAGGGCAGGATTACTTCCCAATGCAGGCAGGCTCGGCCAAGAAAGTTGAAAGCAGAAAGGAAGATTGGTGGAGAGGAAAACAGGTACAGATAGTCCTGATTTACCATGTATTTAAGTTACAATGAACCGCACTTATGACCATCTTTTTTTTCTTTTTGTACGTCTTATCGTTAGTAATATGTACTACATACAATGTTACAGCACGTAATTTGCTCATGTTATCATTCTCAGATGTTCACTTGCAGATGTTCAATTTTATGGTTTACTGATTAAAACACTGCCATATAGATTTAGTTTTTTAAACTAAATCAGGGGCTTCAGTTGCCTAAAAACATGGACCCAAATGCTAATTGCTTTGCTAAAGTCGATAGGAAGATTCACGAAGCATTGAGATGTTACCATGAAGTACATGAAACAAAAAAAAGCAAAGGACCATACAGACAACTCTCATTAATTTTCTGACTAGAAACGCCATCCCCATTTGCAAGGATAATCCAGATGATCCAGAACCTTCCACAAACGGAGTTATTACCACAACTGACAAAATGCCAATGTCATCCTATTCTTCTTCACTCTTGGAGTAAATTTTTATGATTTGTGTATGTATGTTTTTTTTTTTTTTTATTGTACTTCAAGTGAAGGTTTACAGAACAAATAGTTTCTCATGAAACAGTAGTACACATATTGTTTTATGACATTGGTTAACAACCCCATGATGTATCAACCAACCCTCTCCCTTCTTGACCTTGTTTTTTTTTGGGGGGGGTGAAAATATACATAGCCAAAGATACACCGTTTCAAAAATTTCTACATGCACAGTTCAGTGACACCGACTAAGCTCTTCCAATTGTGCTGCTATTCTCACTTTAGATGAAGGTTTACAGAACAAAATAGTTTCTCATTAAACAGTACACATGTTGCCTATGACAATGGTTAATAACTTCACTACACATCAGCACTGTTCTTACTCAACCTTGGGTTCCCTATCACCAGCTTTCCTATTCCCTTCTGCCTTCTAGCCCTTGTTCCTGGACCGCCATGCCTCATTAGTCCCGTTTTGTTTTATGGGGCTCTCCACTCCCCAGCTGAACAGTGAACCTCGAAAGTGACTTCACCACTGAGCTAAAAGGGTATCTGGAGGCCATACTCTCGGGGTTTCTCCAGTCTCCTTTAGGCCAGTAAATCTGGTCTTTTTTGTGTGTGTTAGAATTTTGTTCTACATCCTTCTCCAGCTCTGTCCCGAGCCCTCTGTTGTGATCCTGGTCAGAGCAGTCAGTGGTGGTAGCCGGGCACCATCTAGCTGTACTGGACTCAGTCTGGTGGAGGCCTTGGTAGCTGTGGTCCATTAGTCCTTTGGACTAATCTTTTCCCTGTATCCTGTTCTCTTCATTCTCCCTTGCTCCCAAAGGGATGAGACCAGTGGAGTATCTTAGATGGCTGCTCACAGGTTTTTAAGACCCCAGATGCTACTCACCAAGGTAGAATGCAGAAGATTGTCTTTATAAACTGTGTTATGCCAATTGAGCTAGATGTTCCCAGAGACCATGGTCCCCACAGCCCTCCGCCCAGCAATTCCGTCCCTCAGGGAGTTTGGATGTGTCTATGGAGCTTCCATGACCTTTTCTTGTACAAGTTGTGCTGGTTTCCCCAGTATTGTGGACTGTCTCACCCTTCACCAAAGACACTACTTATCTGTTGTCTATTTAGTATTTCTCCCCCACCCCTCCCATCTGTGTACGTATGTTTGTATTAAAGTATATCTATAAGTTTATATGTAATCTTCCCAACCCCCAAAGACAAATATAGATCAGATTTATAAAGATACTGATAATAAAAGGCAATAATAATGAAAAAAATGAGGTATTCAACTTATGTCAGAACTGATGATGGAGTCATCGAAATGGAACCCTGTTATAAGCCAGGACTACCTGTCAATGCATGTCTGATCTAAACAAAAGGAGCTGACTAGGTGAGCTGCAGAGCCTGTTCTGAGATCAGAATGTCTTAGACATGGAAGCATACAATAAATAGCTGCTGGACTGGATAAGTGAGATGTCACTAGGGAAATGAGCTGTAACAAAATTAAATGCCTGGGATTTCCTAGTAGCCTGGAGTTGGGACATGTGTCCATTTGGGAATGAGGTGCTCTGGTTGGGCCTAACCATTCTGATCATACAGGTTACCCACTCAGTCCAGTTGTATTGTCCTTAGATTTCAGTAAGACAATTTAGTGAGGGGTATACACACTACAGATGAAAAACCCTAATTCCTACTTCTCAGCCCCAAATTACAACAGATATTAACAATCATACCATGATTTTTAAGAAATTATAAGAAGTAGCATCCTTTCACGAACGCTGGACCTATAAGAAATAAACCCAGACCTGAAAAATATCAGACAGAGAAATGTGCTATTATCAGAACAAAATATCCTTCATGGAGTTTTCAAGGAAGGCGAAAAATTCTATGGTTATTCCTTGTAAACAGCATTTTCATGATTTCATAGGAATTATGTGAGCAGTTGTTAAGAGCAGACATCTGTACTCCCTGCTATAGTTACAACAAAGAAGAAACATGGAAGGAGGAAAATGTAAAGTTTTGTGAAGTATGGAGAAAGCAATGAAAACTTTATGAACTGATCAAAATTCTATCAAGTTTAAGAATCTACTTTCTAACTGGTTCAAAGTAATAATCAAATTATACATAAACATTTTAGAGGTGTTGAATTCTTATTGACCTTATTTACAAAGTTGATTTCTCTCAAAATATCTTCACTGAGGGAGTAGCTAAGTGAGAAATATTATTTCTTTATCTATAAATATCATTTCAGCACTTAGCACATTATCTTGCAGATGACAGCAAAGATGTCACTTTGAGGACTAAGGTGTGCCTGACCCAAGCCATTGTATTTTCAATCTCCTCATATGCATGCAAGAGCTGAACAAAGAATAAGAAAGACTGAAGAAGAATTAATGCCTTTGAATTATGGTGTTAGGGAAGAATACTGAATATACCATGGGCAGTCAGAAGAACGAACACATCGGTCTTGGAAGAAATACAGCCAGGATGCTCCTTAGAAGGGAGGATGGTGAGACTTCATCTCATGTACTTTGGACATGTTATCAGAAGGGACCAGTCCCTGGAGAAGGACATCATGCTTTGTAAAGTAGAGGGCCAGCAAAAAAGAGGAAGACCCTCAATGAGATGGATCGACACAGTGGCTGCAACAATGGGCTCAAACATTGCAACAATTATGAGGATGGCACATCAGTGGGTGGTGCTTCATTCTGTTGTACATAGGGTTGCTATGAGTTGGAACTGACTCGGTGGCACCTAACAACAACAGCTTCTCAATAAATGTACTCAAGGAACATTAAATTTGTTCTAACCTAGAGGCCAATACAGGTCTGGTATGTCCTGTGTCTTTACCCAGCAAGGTACAGAAGAAACTACTCTGGTGACGGCCAGAAAGATGGATCAATCATGAAGTGCCATGGGATTAAGTCTATCACAAGTGCCCTAATAGACGAGGAAACCAAGGTTAAGGTGTGGCTTCTTAAAATGAGTCATCAAAGTCAAGGAGGTCAAGAGTAAAGCAACCACTGCTTTGAGAGGATGACAGATCTCATCTGAGCTACTCATCAACTTCATGTAATTTCCAAAGAAAAAGGCATTATTTAATTTTTTCTTAAAAACGCAAACTTCATTTCTTTTTTCTATGTGATTTTTTTCTTTACTGTCCCTTCCACTTCTTACCTTTTCTCTGGTAAGTTCCCAAGGGCAGCAATACCAAGAGGAATGTTGTCTGAAGGACTGCAAAGAGAGCCATAGGTTCTGGTTTTCTGAAAAACATAAATTACAAAGGGGAATTTGATTTATTTTCAATTCCAAGCAGATTTCTTTGAGCCAATTGTGGCAGATGGCTTGCAGGAAAAAACCAGATGCTGTCCAGTTGATTTGACTCATGGCAACCTCGTGTGTTGCAGAGTAAAACTGCACTCCACAGGGTTTCCAGTGGCTGTGACCTTTCAGAAACAACCTGCCAGGGCTTTCTTCTGAAGTGCCTTTCGGTGTGATTGAACTACCAACCTTTTGATTAGCAGCTGAGCACTCATCCACTTGCACCACCGAGGGACTTCTAGATCCTTGCATTAAAGACCCCTTTTTTTCTCCCATCCCTGTGTCCAGGCCCTTTGACATGCGACTTTGGAATCTTTCCCACAATAAACCCATTGCCATCAAGTTGATCTGACTCATAGTGACCCAACAGGATAGAGCAGAACTATCTCCTAGTCTATTCTCCTGTTCTAACTGGGACCTTCTATTATGTCCCTGGTCAGAACGGTCGGTAGTGGTAGCCAGGCACCATCTAGTTCTTCTGGTCTCAGGCTTGAAGAGGCTATGGATCTCATGGGCCATTAGTCCTATGGGCTAATTTCTCCCTTGAGCTTTTGGTTTCCTTCATTCTCCTTTGTTCCAGATGGGAAAAGACCAATAGTTGCATCTTAGATGGCCGCTCGCAAGCTTTTAAGATCCCAGATGCTACTCACCAAACTAGGATGTAGAATATTATCTTTATGAACTCTTGTTATGTCAACTGATCGACCTGTCCCACAAGACTATGGTCCCGCGCCTTCAAATCTGGTAAACCCATCCATCCCACGAGGTGTTTGGTTATGTCTTGGTAGTATCCATAAGCATGCCCCCTATGTGGTTTAATACAAATATGAATAGGTATGCTGTGTACATAAACATGTATATACATATGCCTGAAGATACACCTATACATGCATACACCTATATTCACATGTGCCTTCCTATATGCATATATGTCTACCTAAGTAGCCACACACATATTTTACCGGTTGTTATTAGAGATGGTCAGTTTTTCATTGTTCAAAATAACTTCTGGTTTTCCTTGCCTTAGAAGGCAGTTGTAAACTACAAGCCAAAGGGCTTCACTGATTCATCAGGTATTTTGACCACCGGACAATCAAAGGGCACAAAGAATGAGCCCAGATGACCTCAAGAAGGCTAATATCTTCCTAATTTAATAGTAAGTGTGTTAGTCAGGGGAAGCGTTCAATTTCACTTTTCCATTTCAAACTCTGACTCAGCACAGAGAACAATAAAACAATTCATTCAGTCAGTCAGTGTTTGCTTCTGTTTAGCCACCTGGACTTCATCAAAAGCTAGAAATTCAATGAACCAGATCATCAATTTTCAATACTCATACCCTCTATTTTTTAATAGCATTTTAAAATCATAGAAAGACATCTTTTTGTAAATACTCGTATTTTCCAATTTAGTTCCATGACAAGTTTTATTCTTTGTTTTAAAATGGGAATGAGAATGAAGATAGCAAGGGGGTAAACCATACCCATAAATTACTCTTGAGTAACCAAACCTCCCTACAGCTGAACCCAATTACAAGCAGAAGCAAAACTCTCCAAACCACGGTCTTTGTTCATATCCATTTAAGCCCTGCTTTCTGCTATTTTCTAGTTTTGGCCAGGAGAGCCATTCATACCTCTCCAAAATCTCTACCTATAACTTCAAATAGGTTCCTGGCACAAGGAAATATCAAAGCTAGTAGAAAAACCTACTCAAGTGTAAATACTTTCTGCTCAGAACCAAGAGGCAGGAAAGGAAAATGCCTGACACTCACTGCAGTTTTAAATACCCTTTCCATCCTCCTCTGCCGGCACTAGTCCATCCAAGTTAGATGTATAACATCTGAGGAACGCAAGATGCAGCCATTGCAAGGAGATCCCATAAATTTAAAAAGCAGAGCAGTCGAGGGTGATGTGTGCATTGCCAAGTGTTGTCTTCATGAAACGGCTGTTTAAAATGTTTCCATAAATTTGGAGTTCTCCTAGTAAATCATAGGTTTTACATGTCACAAAATTTAATCAAGTCCTAAGGGTGGAGAAACTTAAAACTAAAAGTTAGAAGCCATCTACCAATCCAGGGCAACCAAAAATTAAAGAATAAAACTTGCCAAGGAACTAAATTGAAAAATACGAGTATTTACAAAAGATGCGTTTGTATGATTTCAGCATCACAGGACAGTCTTTGAGAATCGCCAAGATAGAGACTTGTTTGGAACTCCTGCCCTCCCACTGTCTCTCACACACAGAATGTTGTGAATCTGAGGGGTTACATTTCAGCACCTGCTCAGCTTTACTGCCTTCCATCCGCTGTAACACGCAGGGGGCAATCATGACATGCCTACGCAGGAGCAAATTGCTTGCTATTTCCAGGGACAACCACCACCCTTGATATTTCAGGCCACAAACCCCATAAGGACCACTTGCAGAAGGAATAAGGGTTCTAGCTGTTGCCTGAAAATCTTCTGGGAAAATCAATAAAGTGAATCAAAACTTGCAGAACGAGAGTCCGCAGCTGGAAGGACATTCTAGAGATATCTCTGGACCCCCCTTTGGGAAATGTTGCATAAAGAGAGCTCCTGATGGCACAGAGGCCAATGCTGTGCAGAAAAACCCAGGCACCAAGGACTCTGAGTCAGCTGTTACCAACCCCCAGGTGACTACATTAACCCATGTGGCCTCTACTCCACACCTTGTAAATGCATCTGCCTCGGATTATCTTATTCTGAGATGCCAACAGTTTCCTGAAGGAACTCTAGCTAAGAGAAAACTATACGGGGTGTTCAAAAGCAAACATGTCACTTTGAGGACTAAGGTGCACCTGACCCAATCCACAATATTTTCAATTGCATCATATGCATGGGAAACCTGGACAATGAACAAGGAAGACCGAAGAAGAACTGACACCTTTGAATTACGGCGTTGGCAAAGAATATCGAATATACCATGGACTGCCAGAAGAACAAACAAATCAGACTCGGAAGAGACACAGCCAGAGCGTTCCTTGGAAGCGAGGATGGTGACACTTTGTATCACGTACTTTGGACATGTTATCAGGAGGGATCAGTCCCTGGAGAAGGACATCATGCTTGCTAAAGTTGATAGTGAAAAAGAGGAAGACCCTCAACAAGATGGACTGACACAGTGGCTGCAACAATGAGCTCAAGCATAACAACAATTGTGAGGATGGTGCAGGACCAGGCAGTGTTTTGTTCTGTTGTACACAGGGTCACTGTGAGTCGGAAACAACTCGACAACACAACATGCAGGTGGCAGCCAGTGCAAAGTTCCAGAGGTGTGAGTGTACCTGTCGTACTCAAGGGACAAGAAGGAGCCCAGAGTGGCTACAGCCCAGGGAGCAAGGAGATGAGTAACAAGAGATGAAATCAGAGGGTACACAGAGAGGGAGGGCAGACCAGGCAAACCATTTTGGTTGTTACTCTGAGTGACATGGGAACCACTGGAGGATTTAACGCAGAAGAGTAACATGGTCTTACTTATACTGAACAGAGAAGAGACTGAAGGGGCAAGACTGGAAGGTGGGAGAGATTATAGTAATAGTCCAGGTCAGAATGATGGTGGCTAGACCTGGAAGTGGCAGTAGTGGTGAAATTCTGGAGCTGCCAGGACATGGGGTGCTGAGAAAGTGAGATGTCAAGAACTTTGGTTTGAGTCTCTCGATGAATGGATTTACCACTTACAGAGAAGTGGAAGACTGTGGGAGGGCAGACTTGGTGGCATATTATCAAGGGCTTAATTTGCAACATGTTAAGTTTGCAAAATCCAATCACTAGAAAAGCACATCATGCTTGGCAGAGAGTCAGTAAAAATGAGGAAAACCCTCACTGAGATGGACGGACACAACAGCAGCAACAACAAACTCAAACATACCAATGATCACAAAGATGGAGTAGGATTGGGCAATGTTTCATTCTGTTATACATAAGTGCATAAGTCGGAGTCCACCTGACAGCAGCTAACAAGTTTGAGAAGCTTATTTGATACTTAGGTGGCAATGTCAAGTAGCTAGCTGGATTCACAATTTAGAGTTTGCAGGAGAAATTCTGGCTGAGGATATACATTCAGGAGTCCTCGGTGCATACAGATTGAGTTCAAAGCCACAGGGCTGGATGATCTCCAAACGACAGAGTGTAGATAGAAGAGAGAGGCAGTTCGAGGACTGGGACACTCTGTATCAGACACTACACCTTTTATGCAAATTAAAATGAAAATTCAGGATGGTTGTTGTTACCTGCTGTTGCCCTCGACTCACAGAAACCCCACGAACAACAGGATCAGACCATCGGGATCCATAAGGTTTTCATTGGATGATTTCTGAAGTAGATCACCAGGCCTTTTTTCCTAGTCTATCTTAGTCTGGAAGCTCCTGTTTAGCATCATAGCAACAGGATAACAACATGACAGACAGGTGGCGGCTGTGCATGAGGTACCAACGAACCTGGGTCTCCCACGTGGAAGGTTCTACCACTGAACCACCACGGACTCCTCAGATCTAGGATTAGGTCACGCTTTCCTACACTGCCTCAAGGGTAAGGGTTGTGTGAGCATGAGGTCAAGGAGGCTAGTCCTAATTGCAGTGCATCTTCAGCACCAGCTGGCCGCTCCAAGCAGTTCCCCACTGCTGCTCAGGGCCTGCAAAGTGTGGGCTGGAGTTTTACTCCAACATTTGGAAAAGGTCACCAGTTGTCTTATTCTTCCAACAGGCTTTCTCTTTCCACAACTATCAGTGAGGAGAATTGCTACTTATTCCCTGTGCTGCACCTATTCATCCCTCCCCATCTCTCCTTGAGTGCTTGGCAATCACTGACCTTTTCACTGCCTCTATAGTTTTTCGTGTTCTAGAATGTCGTATACTTGGAACCATCCAGTATGTAGCCTTTTTAGACTGGCTTATTTCACTTAGCAATATGCATTTAAG